ATGGAAAGGAGGAAGGAGTGGTCAGGGGCTGAGGGCAGAGGAAAGTGGGAAAGGCTGTTGAATAAGCCCAGAACTTCAGTTCAGAAAGAGCAAGGGGCTCTAGGGAGAGCACAGTGACACCAATGTGCTTGGTGACACAAAACTGATCGCTTAAAATGCCTAAAATGGCAAGTTTTATACTGATTACATTTAGTCACAATTTTGATATATTCAAGATATATTTATTCCTCACCTAGTACACAAGCCGTGTTTCTGGGGCTACCATAAATAAAAGGTTGCTGGCCCCATCAAACCAGCTCAGCTCGTACACTGTCCCGCCCCATACTGCAAACTTGTGATGATCCATTGCCTATATTAATTAAAAGGAGGAAGGTGCATGGCTTGAATGGCAAAGGTCTCCCACAGACTCACATGTTAAGGTGCAAGTCCGCAGCTGGGGTGGCTGTTTGGAGAGTCTGTGAATTTTCTGGGGTGGGACCTAACTAGAGAAAGCGAATCGCTGGGGTGGGCCCATGGAGGCGTCTTGTCCCTAGCCCCTTCTCTTCCCTCTCTCTGCTTCCTGCCTGTGCTGAGGTGAACAGTCTCTGCCACACACTCCCACAATGATGTGCTCAGGGTTAAGCAGAACCTTCAGAAACTAAGCAAAATACGCATTTCCTTTTTTAAAGTTACCCGTGTTAGGTATTTGGTGACACCACAAAGTGACAAACACAGGAACTAGAGCTGGTTCGGCCTTCATCCTGAGAACCCAGCACAGCGTTGAGCATGCCCAAAACTGTTCTGAATCATCCTCTGAATGCATGAGTTAAAGCCCAGCCGGAGAGGGGGAGGGGGTTCTGTCTTCCTTTCCCTCACTTTCTCCAGCCAGGAGATGCTTTCTATTTATTGAAGTTGATGAGCCATCTTTTCAGAAACAGAGAGGTTGGATCCAGAGTAAACTCCCTTTAAACATTTTGTTCACAAGTAATAAGTATGTGTTTCCAAGTGCATAGATTGTGACTTTCAACCCCAAACTCCACTGTTTAGCAGTCACATGACATTGGGCAAGTTGCCGAATGCTAAGCCTGCCATCCTTATCTGGAGAGGAGAATGCTGGAAGAGTCTAGACAACATCTGTGAAGAGTCTAGACGGTGTCTGTGAAGAGTCTAGACACTTCTGTATCTGTGAAGAGTCTAGACGGCATCTGTGAAGAGTCTAGACGTTTCTGTGTCTGCAAAGAGTCTAGACGGCGTCTATGAAGAGTCTAGACGGCGTCTGTGTCTGTGAAGAGTCTAGACGGCGTCTGTGTCTGTGAAGAGTCTAGACGGCATCTGTGTGCAGTCCAAAATTCAGGGTCCTGTCTCCTGGTGACCTCGGCATTCTGTAAGAGAAGTAGCCTTGTCCCTCAGCCTCTGGCTCAGTAGTTAAACAGGATCTAAGATATGATAATACGCCTGAGCAAACCCCTGTGAGCAGTGCTGAGGGAGGGGCTCCCTCCTCCCTGGGCATAAGCCCCGACTGTGTAAGGTCCTCCAGCTCTCCAACAGTGAGAAGGAGCCTAAAAATGTTACTAGCTCCAAGAGAACAAACCAAGACAAGCAAGACACTAGGTCCTGCTAGCAAAGCTGAATCACAACTCCAGACCCAGGGACTCTGACACACACACACATTACACAGACACACGTCGGCAAAGCATCCATACAAATAAAATAAAACAGAAAAATAGTTTGGGTTTGGGAGTTCCTCAAACAACAAAATTAAGTTCTACTTAAAATAAGGTTTTCTGAAGCTGCAAAAGTGGCCCAAGGGTTAAGAGCACCTGCTGCTCTCGCAGAAGAGCCAGGCTTGGGTCCCACTCTTGGGTCCCACTCTCACAGGGAATCAACTCAGGCTGATCACTAACTCCAGCCCCAGGGAATCCAACGCCTTCTTCACACCTCTTCAGGCCCCAGCACACATGAAGTAGACAGACATACATGCAGGCAAAACATGTATTTATTTAAGATTAAATAAATCTAAAGAGAAAAATGTTAATGTTTCAAGGGTGGGGGAAGCTCTGCAAAGATGAAAGCACACGCGGTTCCCAGGAAATGTGTTATCTGTGGTGTCTGTTCACCACTGTGTGTGTGTGTGTGGAGGGGGGGGGGGTTCCTGCCTTCATGCAGGGATCCCGCGCAGGGATCCCGCGCTTTGTCCCTGACTTCTGCCTCCACTGGTCTCCCATGACGTCCCCCAGGATAGGAAGATTGAGAACAAATACTGTCACCACCTCCTAATCCCATCCCCTGACAGAAATCACTAATTGACCACAGCCCCCTGTCCTGCTGAGCCAGGCCCCATCTTTCTAGGCAGTCACTACCAATTAATCTGAGATGACATGCAAAATGAAACCCACTTGTCTGGCTCAAGCCTCACGGTTGGCCAGATTTTTTCATGAAGGAAGTCTGTACCACACATTCTTTGTGTTTCGTTTTATTCACATCCCTTTAAAAAAAAATGGGGGGGAAAAGTAGCCTTTGGTTAAAGCTCCTTGCTAAGCCTGAAGCCAGCCTGGAGGGTTGCAGAGAACAAGGTGCCATCTCAGCTCCTTGCAGCATCCTGTGGGCAACAGTGGAGTGTTGGGACCGCTGACCCTGAGACGGCCAATCAGATTGCCTGAAAAGTGATACCGAGACTTAAGGACAGGAGGTATCTTATTATCATTAGAGTCACTGAGAACCACACTGGAAAAAGCTATACTCTCAGGAAGGGCTACAGCAGTGGTTCTCAACATGTGGGTCGTGACCCCATGGGGGGGGGTCACATAGCAAATTACAATTCATAACAGTGGCAAAATATGAGTAGCAGAGAAAAATTTTATGATGGGGGGGGGTCACCGCAATACGAGGAACTGTATTAAAGGGTTGCAGCACTGGGAAGGTAGAGATCCACTGGACTAGAGGGTCAGGCTGGTCATGGCCCACCCGTCTCGAGCTTGAGAGACCTGTTTCCACCCATGGCCAGGCTTATGGAGAGCTAAGCAAGGAGGAGTTTGGAGTGGCTCATCTGACTCTCACAGCTGGGATCTCACAATTGGCTCTCACAACGCCTCTGAACTGGCGTGGCAGCTCATGTCTGTGAGTTCAGAATGTGGTGCACAGAAGCAGGGGAAGTGTGAGTCCATAGCTTAGCCTCAGCTCAGAACAAATCAGGGCTAAGGCTACTGAAGATCCTGTCTCAGAGGGAGGGAGAGAGAGAGAGAGAGAGAGAGAGAAAGGGAGGGGGAGGGAAGAGAGAGAAAGGGCACGTGGAAAACTGAAGTGGCATTTCCTCTCTTGAATCTCCAGCACTCTCTGATGCTTTTATGATAATGAATTATTAAGTACAAAGATTTCTTTAGTCCTCCTCTTTATTATTCTCCATATTTAATCCTGGCTTGAGTGGAAGAGACTGAATTTTGCTTGACTGATATTAACGTATTCATTCAACAAATGTCTCTCTAAACCCATAGTCCCCACCCCACCCCCTTCCCAGTCCTGGCAGGCAGGAAAATTGACACAGGGATCACTGTGAAGAGTGAGAAGAGGTGTCTGCGTGAAACAAGGCCAGCCACCTGGCAGGGGAGTGTCCAGGTCCTGATGTGGCCCTGTGATAGCACCTGGGTAGGAGGGAGATACAAGAGTTGGCAGGAAGGAGGGAGCCCATAGGTGCAGAGGCCAGCCTGAGGAGGCTGTGGGAGAAAGGCTGGTGAGATAGGAGCACAGTTGTGTGCATTCTTAGAGTCTGGGTTTTATCTGGAAAGCTTCTGAGACTCCTACAGAGGAAATCAACCAGACAGACCGGCTTATATTTTTGTTTTCAGAATGACTGTCCACGGGATGGAGAACAAACTGGAGCAAGTAGGTGCTGATTGGGAGCAATGAGGCAGCTGGAAAGGCAACCGCAGCAATTCAGGCAAGAAGGAAATCAATCAACAAGCACAAAAATAAGCAAGGGTCACATTCACTCGCTGCCTACCTAACCACCCGGCCTGATGCTAAACTAGGGGAGGACTACATCTCATTGACACAGCATCCCTGAGGTATCTCCAGTACTTATGGACCACCTCCTTCTTGTGTCAGGAACCACAGGAGAGGCCAAGGGAGGCCAGTGGGTAGGCGCTGCCCTGGTCTGAGACAGAACTCAAATCTATCAGGTCTGGTTGCAGAGACAGCTGGGAACGTCCACGGCAGTGTTGCCTTGGGTGTCTGGATACTGAGACACCCCAACCCCCCCATCTGTGCGAACCCCATCTTTTCTCCACCACTCCATCCTACCCGCCTTCCTTTGCAGTTCCTGGCATCATTGCCTTGGCCATAAAATGCAAGCCTCTCCCAGTTGGAGTAAAAACCCTCAGAAGCTTTGCCTGTTTGGCCTGCCACACCAACCCTCACGCCCCTTGCAGCACACACACCAGCAACCCTGCTCCTGGTAACACAGTGCCCTACGCATGTTCTTTTCAATTATTCAGCACCAGGAAAACTTTGAACAGAGGCTTGTGTGGTTTCCTTCTCAGAGAGCTGAACCTTGGCAGCCCAGCTTCTGTGTGACACACTAATAGCCAACAGAATGGAACCTGCATCTTCCGTGGGTGACTGACGTTTAGGGACACAGCATCGCCCTAGCCATCCTGACCTGTGTCCTCAGACAAACCCACCCTCAGGAAGAGCCAAACGGAGTCTTCTCCCTCCCCCTCCCCCACCCCAACCCCCAGCATGAAAGTTAGAGCAAGCATCTGCAACGAGAAACTTATGTACTGTTTCCTGCGGACAAGGAGACCTCCTGCCCCTCCCGGGCTGATACAACCCACTTTGCACATCCTGCTTCTCCAAAGCTAAAAATAAATCGGTATGCACTGAAAACTCTCTTCCAGCACACACTTCCCCAGCCCCGCAAGGGCCACACATGAGACTCTTTCGCTTCAAAACGCAGCGGATCGCTGCCTCAGGTTCCAGCGGAGCCTGGCGCGGTCCTCAGCCCCCCTCCCCAACCACCCACCCACCTCGGGATAAGGCTTCCAGCGGCGGTTTTTCACTGCCAACTCTGCAGGCCCGCAGCGGGCCGATACCGACGCCCCTGGTCCGGGGTGGAGATGCTCGGGACTTGTCCCGACCGCCAGGCTCGCTAACGCCCCCTTTCGAGTCAGCGCGCTACGCCGGGTCCCCTGCAAAGTTGCTTTCTTCTTCCCAGCCACCAGCCTGGGGGAGGGCGGGGGACTAAGGGCTTAAAGCTTGCTGGTCCCTGGAGGCGCCGGCGTGGGGGTTGACACTGATTAGGTGGGTGGCACCTGGGGAAGAGCAGCAAGGACCCGATGCAGGGGGCTCCGCGATCTCTTGCATCCCCTGCTCCCGCTGCACCCAAGAGTGCCTCTTCCCCAGTCGCCACTCGGGGTTCCCGCTCCCCAGCTAACCTGCCCAGCTGCGGCTCCCGCCCCGGGCCAGCGGAGGGAAGGCGCTGCGACTCACCGCCTCTGCCGCTCCCAGCGTCTGTGTCGCCGCGGGCGAGGCGGCGGCGCCTTCCCTCCTCCCGCCTCCCCCTGGACAGCTTAGCCGCAGCCGCGCCCCCCTCCCCAGCCACGTTTGCCGACCGCTCCCCAAAGCTGCCGTGGTCTCTCCATGGGATTGGGTGAGAAGCTGGAAGCCCGGGTGAGGGGACCAGTCGGAGCTGGGAGGCACAGGTGCAGCGGCAGCCCCGCCTTGCCCTGGTGCAGTCTCCGGCCTCCGCCCGGGTTGCCTCGGACCCCAGCCCACCACCCAGGCTTCCAGCCAAGCACTCTTCAAAGATTATCTGTTATCTGTTCGAGGGCTGGGGACGTCAGATTCAACCTAGAATATCTCCCAAGCTTGCACTGGTAGGCATGGCGTCCCTGTCATCTCTCAAGTCTGTTCAAGGAATCCTCGAGAACCTTTTCCAACCGTCACACACACAAAAAAACAAGACTCTCTGTCACCCATATATCCACGAGGTGGGAAGGCTTCTCCTTCTCACTGACCTATTCCCTACTCAGATATTTCTGTCAAGCCATGGCTTAGCAAAACCTCAGGACAGATGGACAGCGAAGGGGCCCCTTACACACCCTCACACTGCAGAATGCCACCAGCCTCTCCATCGGAAGACAGTGAGCAGCAAATGTCTTGACAATTCGTTCACCCTGTATTTGTCAGGTGCCTTCATGTTGCGCTGCCTACTCATGACCTGGGGGGGAGGGGGAGCGAGGAGCCACTGTAACTTCTCCTGTTTTGCAACCCAGGTGACCCTTCTTCAATTAAAACAACAAACAAACAAAAATAACTCCGCTAAAAATAACAGAGTAGTGAAAGCACAGTGACCTGGCCATGCGTGTTAGCAAGACTGCAGCCATATTATGATGAGAGAAATGACACTATCAGCTGCGGCGATAACTCAGCCAGGAAAGTGCTTGCCAGGCGAGCCTGAGGCGCTCTGTTCCCCCACCAGATCCAGATCCAGATCCAGTGAGGCGGTGTGGGTTTGTGGGTTTGTGCACCTAGAGCTGGGAGCTGAAGACAGGCGGATTCCTGGGGCTCAATGGCCAAAGAATCCAGTTTAAGGAGCATGCCGCAGGCCCGCAGTCCCGTGAGAGACAGGCAGGTGGGCAGTGCCTGAGGAATGATACCCAAGGTTGACCCCTAGCCTCCACCCGTACACTTACACACACACACACACATACACACGCCACACACATGCACACATGTATGCACGCATGCACACACGCCACATACACATGCAGGGCAGGGGACACTTTAGGTCCATGCAGTCACATGTGCTAATGAACATCAGCTAAAGAGTTCCTCTAACCAAAACCGTTATTCCTTGGGTCTAGTTAAATTGAAAAGCAAATCGAAATTCAAATCTTTCCCTCAAGAGGATTCAGCAATTAAACCGAACACTTTAGACAAGCACCGGAGTCACCTAGAGTTGGATTATTTGCTTGTTTGTTTGTTTTTTAATTTTAATTTTTAAAAACTAGCCCTGGACCTTACCCCGACCCCAAGAGAGTCTGTGACTCAGGGCTGTGACCCAACATGGATGTGTTCACAAGACAGCTGTGCAGATAGGATTAGAAGCCACCATAGGATCAGACAATCAGAAAACAGAGCCCGAGACAACTCTAAAACACAGTTTGGGGGCCAGGAAAGGTCTCTGTTCCTATTGCAAACTCAAATGTCCCTAGAGATAAAAATAGGTGACAATAAGCCACCTAAGGTAGGTTTACAGGGGGGACAGGGCGGGGTGGGGGATGGGGACTGCTATGATTTGAGGATGTTCCCCAAAAGTTCTTTCCAACTGCAATTGCTAGGCAATGTGGCGATTAGGGAGGTAGGACCCACTGGGAGTGGTTAGGATGGGATGGGGAGTCCTGGCTTTCTGGTTAGTCTTAGTTTGCATATTTCCCAGGGCACCTCTAGCCCTTCTGGTTTTTCTACCATACGCCGAAGCCGCACATGGCCCTCACCAAGGCAGTTGTGTCTTGGACTTTCCAGCCTCTAGAACCAAGAGCCAAGATAAACCTTTTTCTTTACAAATTACTCAGTCTCTGTAATTCTGCTATGGCAACAGAAACAAACGAAGCAAGGCACCATGGTTTTGAAGAGGGCGGCCTCGTTTTTCCATGTGAGAAATGCATGTCTGGTGTGACCATCTTTTTTTTTTTAAATCTTATTTTAGTTTAGGTTTGAGTTTTTCCAGAGAAGTCAGAAGTTCATTTTAATGTGTTTTTTTTCTAATTTTAAAGTAATAATTTATTTCAAAGTATTTTCAAGCTATGTAAGCCAAAAGAAGGGTATGGAGGCCACAGAATGTCCCCTGGTCACCAGTTCATCTTCTGTGGCATCTGTGGTCCCAATAAACCCTGACAGCACAGGCAGATGGAAGGTGGCTATGACGGAAGCAGGGATTCATCTGAGAGAGAGAGAGAGATTTTTATCCATTTTGTAATTATTTAATGGTTTTGACTTTTTTAAAAAAAAGCTTCATTGGAATGCGGTGAAGAAGTCCCTTCTTATCTGATGTTTGCTTCCTCTATTCAAAGTCAACCCAGCCTCAAAGTGTTGAATTATGAAAGTTTTCAGTTGCAGTTGTTCTGAGGTCTAGGTGAAGAGCCAGTCCTTCACCCAGTGTATCCAGGCCGTCGACAGTATTCAGAAGTCACTTACTGCCAGGCTCTCTTGTCAGGTCAGTGCCATTAGGGTCACAGCCCCCATGTGACCCTTTTCTGCCCCAAAGTGCAGGAAGTTTGAGGCAGAGGAGGCAACGGGCGTAAAACATGAATGGAGTCATTGATTGGGTCTTATGGCAATGCTTTGAAACATACAGAAGACGTGGAGCGTACAGGGCTCAATAACCTCTGAGGTTCCAGGCTTCTACCAAGAGTCAAGGGGCACACCTCCGAGGGCACAGAGTTATTCCGAAGCCATAGTAATCCTCATTTAAGCATTTTTTTTCATAGATGCACAGAATTATATAACCAAAGCCACAATCAAGTTTAGGATTAATCTCACCCACCACCCCCAAAGAGATCTCATACCTGTTTGCTCATATTTGCTTCTTGCTTCCAATTCTTAGCCCCTGGTAGTCACTAATTCATTCCTAATATAGAAATAGATTTGTGGTGTGGGAGAATTATCTGTATTCTGTCAATCATGTATTTTAATAAAACGCTGATTGGCCAGGCAGGCAGTATAGGCGGGAAAACCAGACAGGAAGTAGAGGTGATGCAATGAGAACAGGAGAATTCTGGGAAGCAGGATGTTCCCTCTGCCATTCCTGCCCAGATCACTGAAGAAGCAACATGTGAGCTGACAGCTGAAAAAGGTACCAAGCCATATGGCTAACATAGATGAGAATAATGGGTTAAGATAAGTCATAAGAACTAATAAGTAGCCTGACCTAATGGACCAATCAGTTTATAACCTTATGGAGTCCTGTGTGTGATTTTCTTTGGGATATGCCGGCTGTGGGGTACCGGACAGAAACCCCAACAAACTGGCCCTTCATGTTACAGATTTGCCTATTGTGGGCATCTCATATAGATGAAATTGTGCAATACATGGCCTTTTGTGCCTGACTTCTTTAACTTAGCATAATCTTCTCAAGGTTCTTCACTGCTGCAGTGCATCACTATTCCATTTCCTCCTCCTCTTTTCTTTCTTTTCTTCTTTTTATTTTGCTATTTGTTTAACATGGGGTCTCACTACATAGCTCAGGTTGAACTGGAGCTTACTATGTAGACCAGGCTGGCCTAAAACTCAGAGAATCCACTTACCTCTGCCTCCTGGATGCAGAGTCTCAATAGGAGGGAGAGCGGAACCCACAACCCACCCATTCAGAAACACAAAACTAATGTGACCAGAGCTTAATGGATGTCTTGGGAATCTTGGGAATTTAATCTTGGGAATAAAAAGCAGAGCCTGTGTACAAGATTAGTCATTAGTACCACAGAGGAGAGAGAAAGGAGCGGGGAACCTGGTCTGAGAGCAGCTGAGCAGAAACAGGGTGGGCATTATGTTACCTCCCTGGTCATCACGCCAGTCTGCCAAGGGCTCAACTCAGCACATTGTGTGAACCTCACTGGGGAGGTAGGAAGATCCAAGACAGGTGCTGATTTCTGATACTTTTCTCCTTGCTGCAATGAAATGCCTAACAAAATCAATTCAGAGAAAGGAAGACTTGTTTGGGCTCACAGTTTGAGGTACAACCCGTCTTGGCAGTGACAGCGTGGCAGCAGGAATGTCAGGTGGCTAGTCATTGCGTCGGCAGTCAAGAGGCAGAAAGAGCTGATGCTGGCACCATGCTCATCTTCCTTTTATTCTGTCTGGGACCGCAGGCCCTGGGGTCAGGTTGTTCACACACGGGTCTCCCCTTTGCAGTTAGATCATCCTAGAAATGCCCTTACAGACTTGCTCAGGGTTTTGTTTCCATGGTGATTCTGAATCCCCCTCAAGTTGACAATTTCACTGGGCTTCAGGAAAACAAGGCATTCGTTCTGACACTCCAAACACCTAAGAAGGCGGAGGAGGCAAGCTGGTGCGGGCTAGTACCTCATCAGCACTCCTGGGGGCATGGAAGTGGTACTAAGTATCTTCAAAGTATTAGTACATACATGTATTTATGAGGTGCACAGTGATTTCATGATTTATGAGTACAATGTAGAATAATTAAATCCAGTTCATTAACAGAGACATCGCCTCAAACGCCATTTTTACAGTGAAAACATTTGATATTCATTCTTTTATTACCGTTTAATGTCTAATACCT